AAATGAAGTGTCAGATTAAAAAGCTTGACCTGTGGACAATAGAAGGTTAATTTTTCTTAAAGAGTTGCCAGCTGTTAAAAAATAAGATTTTTAAAAAATTAGATTCAAATTTTTTTATAAGTTAAATGAATTATTAAGAGGATGGTATCAGTCGAAATCTGTATTAACTACATGTATAGAGTTGCCACCTGTTTAAAAAATCAAATTCTACGTGAATTAAAGGAATTGGGTAATTGAAATAGACAGGTATCCATACCATAAGGGAGTCAGACGAAAGAGGTTTAAGAAGGTTTTAGCTTAAAAATATTACGAATAGGGGTGCCACTTGTTTGTAAAGTCGAATTTAGTTACACTAAAATAATAATTACGTCAAACCATAGGATTACGCCATCGTATTTATTATTTTATTACAAATACATACATTGTCAATCAGCGATTTGTTCTGATTACATTCCTTTTAAATTACTGGACTCTTAAATTAACTCAGGAATGTTTTTACTCTTCACTTATTTCTTGCAAAATATGTCAAATTTTTTCATTTGTCTGATACTCATATTGAAATACATATTTCAGTTACCTTATTCCCTTAATTGATGTTAACTTGATTTTTTAAACATGTGGCAACCATTCTGCGTGTCGTTTAGAAGTAAAGTACTTTCAAAACTAGTTCAATTGATACCCATATTGTAATATCTAATTCATTTAACTTATTAAATAATTTTAATAAAATTTCTAACAGGTGGCAACCCTTTTCAAAAATAGATAACTTTATTGCACATCTACAGGCCAAGCCCTGTCATTTGACACCTCACTTTTGAAAATAGAACGAACTATATGTACATACCTATGTAAAAGGCACAAGAACCCAAATTTTCAACTTCAAACTGCATTTACAGTGAAAGTATGAAAGTTACCCAAAAATGAATTGCATTTTTGAATTTAGCGTCCTCAATTTTACTAAGCAGCTAATTTTCGTTTAAATCCGTACATAATTCTATTTTTGCCCACATTTTATATGGAGGGGAAGCACTGTGCGACGTTCCCGTTCGGACGTTCCGATTTTTTCCAATGGATAACATTTTTTGTTTAGGAATTTAAACACACTCGTTTTTTAATGCAAATATTGGGTTATATTGTAGATAAATCTATGTATATGAAGGCCTTTATTAACGTTCTTTGAAGTTATTTCTTTTTACAAGCATACGTACATATCGACGCCTCCAAACCATTCTATGCTAAGTCTGATTAAGTCTAAGCCGACTTAGCATACTAGGTTTGGAGGCATCGGTATATACTATATCCATATACAGTTACACACAAAATTGAATATACGGGTTTTTTCGTTGATACATATTCGCAATGTTTTACATGGTAAATTTTTTATATCTTATTTTGTATTGAAGTATGGCTTATATTTTAACAAACCCCATTTAAATCCAAATATGAAACTGTATACGAATATAATAAAAAATCTGCAAAGCAAACTTTTTAACAAGAATTTCTAAAAACAAATCAGGTATGCAGTTTTATAGTCCATTCAGTTTTAGTACAATAATGTGGAAATTTCAAATGTATCAACAATCCTCAAAAATCATCGCGAATTTTTAGACATTTTGAAATTTGCACATTATTATACTGAAACTGAATGGGCTATAAAACTGTATACCTGATTTTTTTTTTTAGAAATTCTTAAAAATTTTTGCAGGTTTTTCATAATTTTCGTACACACTTTCATAATTGGATTTAAATGGGGTTTGCTAAAATAATAATTTATAACGAACAATCAAGTGTTGCTTGATAAACTAAAATAATAGAGATCTGCGTTGGTAGTTAAATTTTTTTTAAATATTCACTATTCTCCTTTTGAGATAAATTATTTTTAATCTCTTCAATCACACCAATCCTTCCCGTGGAGACAAACCATTGGTTTTAAATTTTTGTATCCAAACAGAAATGCAATTGTGTGTCAGATGAAAATAGAAACATTTCTATTTCGTATGTACATGCATATGCTTTGTACAGAGACAAATCTAATTTGCCTTTACCCGATATGCTGGAATTTTCATGGTGACAGGTAATAAGATCAACGGAAATAAGGTAAATTGACTTTATTTCCCACCCTGGGGCGAAATAAAGTCAATTGACATTATTACCTTTTTAAAAACAAAATAAAATCCATTGACATTATTTTTCTTTTAAACATTATATTTGCTTACCCCGCGCGACCCGTGGACACACCACGTCACGCTACGCCGCGGCCCCCCCTTCCCCGTCTCCCGCCGTGTTTTAATGCAGGTAGATTTTTTTTGTATACGTTGAAATAAAATGTTTATATATTTTAAACATCTATATTCAATAATACCCTCTATCTGCATACTTTTCACAAAGATGAGATTCTGATATAAAAATCCACCTAAGCTTTAACTGTCATCAGTGATATTAATGCTACCTTATATAACGACAGGTAATAAATCCCAGATGGTTTCTAAAATCACAAATTAGTTTTTGTGCAAATTGCAGATAGAGGGTATTAAATCGAAATTTCACATTTTTATATTTGTAAGTTATTAGAAGCAGGGATGCCAACTTGGCTCAAACCGTGCCATTTGTCCCTATTTTACTTCAAATGGCACATAATTTTTCAATTTGGCACAAAGTGCCAAAATGGCACTTTAAAAAAAAAAATAACATTTCAGTACATTTTTGTGTAAACCTTTGCGTGCACTTCTTTTTCTCAACTAAAATGTTCTAATTTATAAAGGCTGTTCAACTGGTTTATCTTATTTTATCATTGCACTTTTGTTTGGAAAATGTAGCTTTATTTTATTACTAAATGTGAATGATTAAAAGGAATTCCACCTTTTTTGGCACTTTTATTTTTCTATTTGGCACTTTTTTATCCTCAATATGGCACCTCATTACTAAGGATAGTTGCCAGCCCTAATTGGAAGCTGTGTTTTGGGGCAACAACTTGTCTGCAGTAAAAAAGCATATAATTTGTGTTTCATAAACGTGTGATACCCAATCGATTAACTTATATGATCTCGGTTCAATAATTGTTTATACCCGCATTTTGGCACATTGGCTCGTTGAGTGTGCCATCTAATAAATAGTGTCGTCGTTCTCCTTAGCTGCTTTTAAATGATGCCGTCACAAATTCCAGGCGGAGACATGAATACAGTGTAAGAAAATTCTTTTTCTATAATTTTTTCCTTAGAGGTTGGTTTCTTTTCCACCTTAGACATTCCGAATTCGTTCAAAATATGCTAATTTAAAACACAGAATTTTTTCAGTGTTCCTCCGGGGTTTTTGGACATGGACTGTTTCTTCAATTTAATAGTGTTCGCTTTATTTTTGTGGAAACGAAACATGTTTTGCAAGTTATGGATCATTTCTACACTCTTTCTTCAAATATTTCTCGTATTCCAGCTGTGCGCAGGTGTTTAGTTTTTCGCATCGTGTTTTTACATATTCGTAATATAAATTTTTTTAATAAAATCAATTGGTGGTAGTTCATGATTGTGTGTGGATTAATATCACAACACTGAGGGTTTGGCAATAACCTTTTTCATCTATTAAAAAACAACACTTACGGGGCAATGTTTATTGTAAGAACAACATTCTTTTCTATGAATCGACATACTTTAAGCATTGTTGACGCTATTTCCATTTGAATGAGGAAATAGCGTCAATGACTTTATTTCCAAATTTTTGTTGACTTTATTTCGCTTTTGAAAAGGCGAAATAAAGTCAATTGACCTTATTTCCGGTGATCTTGTTACCTGTCACCCATTTTCATATGTAAAAAGTGGCATGTGCACATGCAAATACATATTGTGTAAGAACACCTTTAGTAAGCCATTACAAATGTACCAAAAAAGGACTTCGAAAATATCGGATGAAAATTGAAAAATGGCTTGGAATTTGCGCATGTACTGAGGCCATAAATATGTCGGCAATAATTAAATTATCGGCATACATTTAGACAGACGGTTCACGTGGCGTAGACATATGGTAACTAAGATACTACAAACGAAACTAAGATCAGATAGCTTAAACTGGCTTTTAACCAAAAAATCTAAATTGAAATTAGATTATAAAGTGCTCATATACAATACAGTAATCAAACCTATATTGAAAAAATAAGGAGAAACCAATCGACAACGCTGAGAGCTTTGACAGGGGCGCCGTGGTACGTCGGAAATGAGAACGTAGACCTTGAGAAGAGACCTTGGTATGCCAATGGCTAAAAATGAAATGGAAAATACGCAGAAAGGTATAAAACAGAATTACGCGATCATTCAAACGAATTTGCTAAGGCCTCGGGCAATACAGCAAACCTTACCCGCCTGCGAAGAAGAAACCTGCCAGCCTTATGATGAGCAACATTAAACCAAAAGCGCACAACCCCAGGTATTGAGCTATCATATTTGCAGATAAGCTTGAGATTCTAAAACTTGTTGTAAGGCTTAGCATAATGTAATCGATTCAACAAATAAATAAATGTATAAAAAATCTTATTTCACCACGACAGTAGGCGATGCCATGTTTCCGAGTCGATGTCTTATTTACGACATATGCAATGAGGATAATGATTTTAAAATGCTTGCAAAGGTGAGAATGAAAATTATGGCCACCGAATTGCGATAATCATTTTACCTTGTAATGATTTTATCGTGGCTAAACCGCTGAAACGCTGAGAAATTAATATTTTGCTATAGAAAGTCAACCACATGTTACTTTCCTTCTGCAAAATTTACAGCCCTATTCCCTTACAGAGAAAAATTTCATTGCATGACTATTGTCATAACAAAAAAGAAAAAAAAATTGTTTTTCATAAGAAGCTTTTTCAAGTCAAAAATGCACTCAGAAGGTGGTTATTGCCTTTGCATGTAAATATGTATGTATATTCAAGGATACTTTTTAGGAAATGAAAGGTTTAATCTATTGCTTTAAATAAAAACTTAAAACTTATATTTTCTTTATAACGAATCTCTCAGTAGGCAAATGGACACCGTGGAGTGAGTGGAGCTCTTGTTCTTCTGACTGCATTCAAGTTCGCCGTCGAAGGTGTGTTTTCCCTCTTGCTGAAGATTTAAGCGTTGAAAGCATTGAAGGCTCGATATTGTCAGCAAACGTAGCGATTAGCAACGGCGTTGCAGGACTGGGATTTGCAAAGGTTCATTGTCCGGGGAAGGATATTCAAACGGCTGAATGTCGGGGAGAGCATTGCCTTATTGGCAAGGATGGTAAGGTTGTTGAAATTTTTCTACAAAATTTGTATTTATAATTATCTTTTAACACCTCAAGCTTTTGATTGGACTCTTTATCTCGGCTTAGCGTTCGTCATAACAGTTTGCATTGCGTTTGGTGCCGCTCTGATTTACTATGCCCGGCGTAATTTATCTATTAATTCTCATTATAACATGACCAGAACTAGTGAGAAATTGCCATTCATTTCGATTTTAGTCCTATATAAATTCGTTTTGCAGATATGAACTCTGATTATGTAAAGGGTATCGATAAGAAGGGAAAACACGTTGAAACCGCAAATGTCAATTATGATTATCCCAGTTCAGATCACAGATTTATGTCCAATGATCATATAATAAGTTGCGGAGTTTCTGAACATCACTATGACGTACCCAATTTATCTGCCAAGTAAGATTTTTGCTGCAATGTAGCGAGTTTTAACAGTAAATAAAATTGTCTCCCATTTTGCAGCTACACGAATCCAATAGATGAAATAAGTGCAGAATACGTTACGGATACACCAGACACTTCTACAGCGGATACTTGTAAGTACTAAGTTTAACGTATGGTGAATGAAATCCGAACAAACATATGATAGTGAAAATAGAATATGAAATGAAATTTGTTTTATTTAAAGTCAATTAATTTTTGTATTTAGATATAAAAGTTTAATTTATAAAAAAAGTATTTGCTTCATTACGGTTTGCTTTTCTTGTTTTTTTCGGGCAATTTCCTCATTGACTCTTGAATTCCTTTTGTATCGATATCCTTAAGCTCCTTTTTGATTTTTTTTAACTAAAGTGGTATTTTTTGCAGTGTATCCTTTGCCGTAAACACGCCTTTTCAAATTTTCCCAAAAAGTTTCAATTGGCTTCAGTTGTGGCACGTTTGGAGGGTTATACTCTTTAGGTACAAATTTAGAAGACTATTTTGTCCCTTCTATGGTATTTGTTAATAAATTTCTGAAGTTCAGGAATACATTTCTCTGCATAAGTCTGA